AACAAGTTGCTGCCCGACTTTGAATGCGGTCTAACGGAAGGAGTTGGATCAGGTGAGAACAGTATTCCATGTGTTAAGTTATTGTTAAGCACCCCCAATTTTTTAGTTGCTTTTTTCCAGCAAAACTGGACGTCGCTAGATATATTAACATTTCGGTGTGTAAATGAACGCGCAGACTTGTGTTTTTTTATAATATCAGAAAATAAGTCAAATTAACATCAATCGGTATGTGCCCGCGAGAAAACCGGTGTATAAATTACTTCAAATTACAATCACATTGATATGCAGAAGAAACTTTTACAATGTCACAGTTTTAATCACAAATTACATCTGTTCAAAAGTCTTTCACTGCCCATCGGTGTGAATAGAAACAACCATCAATTAAGTAGCAGTTGTCAAACAATCTTCTAAACTGTGTGTTGGTCAATTTTCCAAAACTTTGGGACTATACCTGATGAGTAACAGAGCCGAAAAAGACGCGTAAGAAACATTATAAGATTTATATACTATCTTCGACATAAGGGCGGCCCCTACCGACATCTCCATTCATTCTTGCCATAAATCTCTTTCGTAATTCTTCAATAACTATTTCTTTGAATTACATTTTGTTTTATGTATATTCATCGATCCAGTATTATAATAATAATTTATTTACAAAATATTGGTGATTGCCAGTAGCAGATCGTTAAGTTATTGTTAAGTAGTTGTTCAGCAATATTTAACATTTCGGTGTGTAAATGTTTTTTTTTTTTTTTATAATATCCAAAATAAGTCAAATTAACATCAACAAAACCAATTACTTCAAATTACAATCACTAATAAGCTTTTACAATGTCAAGTATCACAAATTACATCCATTCAAAAAGTCTTTCACAGAATAGAAACAACCATCAATTAAGTAGCCAAACAATCTTAATCTTATTGGTAGATTAAAAAAAATAATCTTAATGGTAGATTAAAAAAAATGTAATGACTTTTCAAAAGTGCTTCAATGTAAGTTTATTTGAATAAATGATTTCTATTCTATTCTATTCTAATCTTCTCCTAAACTGTGTGTTGGTCAAATTTTTAACATTATTAGACAATTTATTATATATTTTAATAGCCATGCAATAACTATTTCTTTGAAACATGTTATGTATATTCAGGATCCGAAACAACCTCTTCAGACCGACATCCCTGACCTTAGAGCTCAATGTAATCTGTCAATCTGTAAGGCATTGTCCGACCTGCATGATGTGTAAGGAAGTAAACTTAGCAGCTTTTTATTCAACTGGTAATGAAAGACATTTACGGTCACTGACCTCCTCCAACCCCTCGGAGAAAAATTCTGATTTAGAGATTTGTACAGACAGATATGTTTTTAAGATAACCCCTTTAATGAATGTGCCCCGAACAATAGATCCAGTGTTCGATAACGTACAACAACACGTTTGGTTTCAGTTACAAGTCGTAACAGAATATTTATCGATAACGTGGGCGAGTCGAGTGATACCGCCAGTTTTGTAATCGGGACTTGGGAAATGATATCGGACTATTTCAATGTGACTTTATTGTGGAGTTCAACAAGAGAAATTTGTGAATTTACACTAACACAGCTATATTAATACTGTTTCGGCATGAATTTTAACATATAGCCATTGCGTATCTGGATTTCAAGTAAAAGACTTTGTTCTTGTGTAAAATAGTACCTAATATAATTGACCTTTCCCGTGGGTATCCTATGAGGTGACTAAGAGAGGGCGAGAGTTGGGCAGCAACGTTTCTCTTAAAGCATCCCTAAAACCTAACTGCGGTTGCCAATCCGTATACCAAGCGTAGCAACTTCTGACAAAACCTTCCCAAGAGAGAGGCTTATTTCAGCAGTGGACAGTTAAAGGCTGATATGATGACGACTGTAGTCGAATATACGGCTCGCCTAATGGTAATCGACCGGGGGGAAAGGGATTGTTAGTAATGGAGACTGAGAAGCCCATTGCTAGCAATATACCCAACCAGGTCGACCTCTTCGCGGTTCTCCCTGTTGTCATGGTTAATTCCTGATGAATTCATCACGATGGGCTAACTGGCCTGTTTTCATTCTCATCTATCACTCTTCACTGGTGCTCCGTGCTCAGCGTATCCCGTTAGCGCAGGCGGTGTTACCATACCATTTTCACCCATCAAAAAAAATCGACCAACGAAACCTACAAATACATTTTGCAATACCAGCGGTGTACTCGCGCATCGCCGCTCTTTCTGTAGTGCGTCACACATGTTTGCACGGGAGCGTACAGATGATTTTTACGCAATACGACGCAAACGAATTGTTTCGCTGTTGGGTAGGGTAGTGTTGGACAATTGCTGATAAAATGGACTGCTAAAATATTTGGGACAGGTTATCAATGTAAGAGCGTTATGACCGCATATAACATAGGTTAAGTCAATTTGTAACTAACAAAATGGGCCTTATGTAGTCTAATTAAATAAATATTATTATTTATTATTATTATTTGTGACTTGTAAATCTACGCGACACCCCCCGCGGAGTAGTGTTGGACGCGTTGCTTTTATGTACTTAAATTTTAATTTATATCTGGTTCTATTCTCGGTCGGGGCAATTTAAAAAATGATCTTTTCTAAATCAATTCTGGCCCTCTAGACAAGTGGCAAGTCAATTGGTCGATGAATGAGATAGCAACACAGGTCTAGGTGCTCTGGGTTGCGATCCCAGATGTTGGTCGCGTGGTGCCTCACAGCTGGGTATTAGAGCTTGAGGAGCAAACGATTGGTGTAATGGTGTGGCACTTACAGTAATGTCGCCGCCATATCTCATCCTTCAAATTAGAATACGTATAAAATCAAGACGCTTGATGGCAATTTATTTGTGCGACAAAAGTACCACTTTGCTGAAGAAGTTTATGTTTTCTTTCCCCTATCAGGAATTTCATTTTTTTTTTTATTTGATTTATAATTATAAAATTCTGAATTACAGAAAACGTAATATTAGCATTCAGTAACCAAGTGGGTTTATTTTATCGCTAAATACATTGAGACTATTTCAACTTGTATTAACACCATGCATTAAGTATTGTTTTAATTTACCTATGATGTAATTATTATTTTTATACCACTAAGGTGACAAACAAGCATACGCCCCGCCTGATGGTAAGTGGTTACCGTAGCCTATGAACGCCTGCAATACCAGGGGTATTAATAGTAATATTACGCCGTACAATCGGTGGGTTGTTCATTAACAAGTCAAACTTTAGAATACCTTTATATTATAATATATGTCATAAAAAAATATTTATTCTCTATTGCATAATAAAATGTATGCAAGTGATGAGCCTGATGCTGTATGCCGTATGTAAGCTGTATGCCATTGTCTACCAGTTAACCCTAACCATTGGATAAAGTTAGAATGCAATAGAGGAGTAGAGTGATACCGAAATAACTAAAAAATAAATATACTAATGCAGCAATTTCCTCTTTGCGGAAGGCTGGGTGTGTGTGGGGGGGGGGGGCGATAGTGTGAACTTTTTTATTTAGACACGCCATCAGTTAGTTACGCTTTATTTACTTTCGTTATTCCCAATTTTTCCGTGAAAACAACATACTTTTTTATGAAAATAAACATTTTCTCTTAAAACTAGAGAACAACTAACGCATCTGAAACACCAGAGTAAATATTTACATTTTCAAACGCCATTAATATCAATTTTACGAGTCGCTACTAAGTCTAAGAGCACTTTTGTTGCTTCCAAACTTTGCGCGCGTCGTTATTTATTATCCTCGTAGAGAACGCGTTCTTTAATTCATTAATCATTAACATTAGAGTTATGTTTTAATTGCTATAGCTGAACGGCCTAAGCTTCCTTAGGCTGGGGATATATATATATAAAAAAAAGTTTTAAAAACTTTAACCTCATTAATGTTGCGTTGAACGCAGTACGAGCCGGAGAATTGGCAACGTCGCTTGTGACCCGGTGTTGCATCACGCAAAAGAGCTTTCTTTGCTGCGTTGTGGGGTAAATACGACTGTTCAGACGCGGACGGGTGATTTCCAGTAAATGCGATTTCTGTCTAATTTCGGTGCCCTTTTTTGGTTTAGAGTCTTCTTCAACAAGTGTCCTCTGAAAGCGTTTAGAAAAATGTTTTCTTTCATATTTTGTGTGCATCTACTGTTCTGGGGACTCGTAGTTGAAAGCACAGTTGAAAATAGTCTGTTTCTTATAGAATAAAACGTAAATATGTGTTCATTAATTTTGTGATAATTTCTAATCGACTTATTCTTTAGGAAATTCTCAATTTATCTTTTCTTTGTATCGTTATTGTTTTCAGTTTTAAAATTTCGTATTTCATTTCGCAACACACTTCATTTTCATTTTAAGTTCACCTATTATGGCAACCTTAACAGAATGACGCTCACATTCATCTTACTTATTTAAAGAATACCAAATACAAAAATTCACTCGCGTATCCGCTTGTGTAACTCAAGTTTGACTTTACCGAGTAGCATTATTGACCTGAACAAAGTAAATAATTTTATTAAAATTAAAATCGCAAAAAACCAAGCTAAATTTTAAATTGCTGAAACATTTAGTAATTAGCTGTATTTTTTAAAACAATACAAATGGGTTTTAGGTATTTTTTTGTATTTTTGTTTAAATTATTCTGAGAATGAATAAATCTAATAAAATTATTATTGATAATTTTTTTTTAACTGCTGAAATAGGTTTTACCACTTTATGATTTATAACTTTAAATCATTTATATAAAAGAACGAAATATGTTTCTAATGTATTTATTAGTGTTATTACACTATATATGTTTTAGCGTCTGTTTGTTTCAAAAGTTCCTGTACGATATATTGTGAAATATTTTGTTGATATTCAAAGTGCGTCACAAGTTTTTCCTGAAGAGAAAAAGACTTTATAATATTCGATATGAAATAAAATCATGTACAAATAAAACCCATATCGAGGGACCCAGGACGCTTGCACTGGCAACCCCAAGCGGCCAGTGAGCGGCAGTTAGCCATGAGCGTTCAGTTGATCAACCGCCGTGGAAACGCGCGTTGTCGCGACCATTCGAATATCGAACGTGAAAACTTTTGTGATGTAACTACAGTGTGTTGACGTTCAGAAATCATTGTCTCACCAGTGTTTACGTTTCGTTCGATTGTTCCTTATCTCGTGTTCGAAATTCAAAACGTGCTCTAAATTCATGTGTACCAATTGGATTATAATCTATGGTGTGTGCCCACAGAGTTCGATATGAAAAAGTTTGCGAGTTTCGCTCACTTGCGCCCAATGTGTTGTCTTTATTAGTTTGTTAGTGTGGTAAGATTTGCTGGAAGCAATATTCGGACACGCGGGAAATGTTATTTATTGTCACCCGAGCGAGATGGTGGTCTCCGTTTATGTAATTTGTGGTCACCTTATTGCTTGTTTGTGGCCAGTGGCTTGAGTTTATGTAGAAGTTGTAATTTGTGACGATTGATACTGAACAAGCGAGGATATTTAGATAAATAAACATGGCCATTTATTCTACGAGTACAATATACTGATTAAAATTAGAATGCTCTATATATATATATATATATATATATATATATATATATATATATATATATATATATATATATATATATATATATATATATATATATATAATTAGAAAACGCCATGGTGTTGGTGAAGGTTTAGATTAATAAAAAATCCTTGGGTGGAAGCCATAAAATGAAAAAGTATACGCGACAATTTTGATAATAGCCGACTATGACATTAACTGCCAAATGCATATAAAAAAAAGTATTTCACAGTAATTTATGGCCGATTAAGTTTTTTTTTAGTTTTTGTATTTATAGGTGGTTTTATATACATTTTTTTTTATTAGATAAATTTTGTAATCTCTTCATCGGAATAATAAAATAATAAGTACAAGAAATTTATAAATCTCTAGAATGTGTTATTTGATAAATTGTTATAGATATGTTTTGTGTATATATATTTGGGACATAGTACTCCCCCTTAAGGGAGGGTTTTGTTAGTAGCAGCCACGCTTAGCGGCTGCGTGCGGATTAGCAACCGCAGTTTGGCTTTTTAAGAAGAACGCTGCTGCCCATCCGTCGACTATTAAATTTCCTTAGTCGTCTCTTACGACACCTATTTGAAAGAGTGGCCCAGTCTATACCGGGACCACATGGATATATTAGATTTTAAGGCTATAGAACATAATAGGAAAGAAATATCGTGAATCAAAAATTCAAAACGGTCAATTTTTAAGTCTTTTGTATTAACTCAGTTGATAGCGCCATGTTAGTCTGTTAGACACAAAATTGTTGATTTTCTTTATAAAAACACTGGTTTCTATATATAATAATGAAAAGGGATATATATATATTTACATTATTGCACGTATTTTATCTCTGATGCATTTAAAAATTTTCATCGTGCCTCCGATCAAACTGTTTATAATTACTCCTCTCCATCCAAAGGTTGCCTGCAAGAGATCGCCTTTAATTATAAGGTCCAACTTTGTTTTGTTACTGTAATCATTTTTTGTAATTTTTTTTATCAAAGTTTACTATTGTGATCTTTAAGAGGGAACAATAAAGAGTATCAATCTTTCAAAGAATTACAACAATTTTGATTTAAGGAGATAACGACGACTATGTTTCACGTAGATATCTCACCACACTGTCAAATAGTTGAAAAGGGAAAACAATAAGAGTAAATAAGATGGCCAGTGTTTCACTTGCGCGGAAGTATATGCAATCCTATCAATTAGCTTTCATTTCTCTGCGCGCTAGTAACAAATATACCATTTCTCTTTTACGATAATATCATTGTCTAGATAGAGCTAATCGCATTGTCTATGTTCTCCATCTGTGTAAAACACATCATTGCATAACGCTATTATCTTTGGTGGGTTATTGTTTTTTAATTGTGACGTCACCCGATATCATAACATTATCGCGGCGATTGTATTTCTACATACATTACCGATGAGTTTATATTAAGTATAACATCGTGTTATTGTATTATTAAAACTATTATAAACTGGTCTTCGAGGGCGGGGGGGGGGGGATTGTTGGTGATGAGGAAATTAGGTCCGTATTGCTATTAATATACTTTATCAGGTCGACTTTCTTACGGTTACTCTTGGAAATCATCGTGACTAATTTATCGTTGAATTCATCACTATGTGCTAGCTGACCTGCCTTTTCATTCTCACCAATCATCCCTTACTGGTGCCCCGCCAGTTTATACCGATAGCGCAGGCGGGGTTACCATTCCATTATCATCCATAAAAAAAATACCTGCACCTAGCAACTGTTTGACTGGCAACAACAGCGTACGTACATATACGTGTTATCAGTAACAGATAAACGATTTACTAATGATCTCGGGTATATCATTAGAACAATGATGGTGATTAAACTTTCGACATGTATTAAAATTTCATTAATACGTCCCCCGTCCGACCTGTCGCCCGTTATACATTTAATTTTAATTGGGTTACCATGTCAAATGACCCTACAATATATGAAACAATCTTCTTTTTTTAACAATTTCACGCCGCATATTTATTTATTTATAGCAAGGAACAACAGATTACAAATTAATACATTAATACAATAAATATTGCATAAAACAGCATTAAATTTGCGCTCCAACAACTGCTCGGCATAACATTCGATATTATATAGGGTGGGATATGGCAGTAAATTTACAAGGTACAGAGGAATAACACCTTAAATCCTCAGGAATGGCAACGCATGGGGGGTATCATGGGGGAAACAGTATACTCTGTTATGTCCATGGTACTGCTCATGTGTATAGGCGACGGTTACCACTTTCCATCAGGTGGGCCGTCAGTTTGTTTGCTATTCTAAGTTTTATAAAAAAATGTATGGTATTAATGTTGGTACTCTTAAAATGTACAGCCACGGCCGCCGTGTGTGACTCGGTGACATCACTGAACACTGTTTGTTGTACATATTGGTATTAACAAGATTATAAATATCTATTTTTTTTTTAATCCAAATGATTATTCATAATACGTTCGGTTGCTATAAGTCAAACTCGCTCCACAGGTAGTTTGCACAAATTATCATGTATTAATGTTAAAAATCGGACACGTGTCCATTTTAGCGCTTACTAAGCCACCCGCCCCGGCGTCGCACGGGTAGATAAGTGGAAAGGTTAATTAGTAATTGATAAAAAAAAAATTGCAACTCATGTTCATCATCTTCATCATATCAGCGGTTGATTGTCCACTGCTGAGCACATGCCTCCTCCATAGACTGCCATAGGTAACGGCCCTGAACCTCCTGCACCCCATGTAACTCACTGGTAAATGTAGCTTTCTATTATAAATACAATACAAATAATTCTTTATTAAGATTGCTAGGACCCATTTTTTATATTTTACAAATTAATACAATTGTGATTATAGTTGGGTTCTTTCGACGTGCAACGCAATACTACGGTTTATTTAGAAGGAATCAAATCTACTTGCTACTTATTGTTTAGTATTTTTTGAGATTATCCATTACAAACAAAAAAAATCTATATATATATATATATATATATATATATATAGAAGAATTACGAAAGAGATTTATCGAGCATGAATGAATGGAGATGTCGGTAGGGGCCGCCCTAGACGGACGTATGCCGACCAAATAGGCGACGTGCTGAAGAAGGGCCAAATTAAAAGTACCCGTAACCGACGAGCGTGTATGACAAGATTGATGAATGTGGAAGAAGCGAAAGAGGTTTGTTTGAATCGAAGCATTTGTCGTTCCATTGTTTCTGCCTACCCTAATGGGAGACAGACGTGACAGATATGTATGTATGTATGTATATATAAAAATATTGAGCTCAACTAAAACTTAGTTTGGTTCGCTTAGCCCATCTCCCAGTGTGACCTGTGCTCAATACATTAGAAACGAGAACTACATCCTTTTGAAGTCGGCTAATTAGTAGGCCACCTATAAGCCATTCCAGTGAAGACACGTGCAATTTGCTCGTACGGTTACTAATGATAAAGCTTGCAACTCCGGCCACACCCACGTCAGTGGATACCACCACCGTCAACCTGAATATTAGATGAGCCATTGCAAAATATCGATTCAGCACAATTAGCGCTGGATGTTAGCGTTCGCATTGTGTGCAGCTATTTCTTCAACCAGTAATGTTCGCACTCGACGCACAAGCGCCCCAAATGATTGAAGATCTTCGACGGCAATCGTGAAGAAATTAATTTTGGCCAGTAATCTCACTGTTCTTATTTTAAAACAAATAAAATGCACCAATGGATGACCGTTCTCGTACCTTTTGTTTTATTAATGGACGTATCGTTGACATATTTTAATTATTATATTTATCAACTGAGCATGTTTGACAGTTTCCCAATTCGCTCCCTTAGTATAATATATTTTATATACGATATAAAAAATATAATTATGGGGCATTTTGTTATTGTATTATATATGCTTGTACGGTTACAAACACCACAACTGACAAAAAATTATGCAAATTTCACACAAACCCATTTCACTTTTCTTCAAACATTTCTCCAAAATTTCGCATACAAAAAATGTTTGTCCAAAATTAGGGGGAAAATTATAGTAGGTTGGCTGGAGGAGATCTTTGTCAGAGATAAGTCTTACTCGCAATATTTATAAATGTATTATCTATGTAATTTCTAAGTGTAATAAAGAATATTACGTTAAAAATACTCAATCTGGCAAAGCGGCAACGCTGAGACGATAAGATGTTTCATAGCCAAATGAAATGTAAAATATTTGAATTTAGAACGCGACAAGCGAAGCGAAATAGGCTTATTGACTTTCGAATCAACTAGTGAGATGCTCATTAACAAGCTAGATTTTGCCCTGTAAAGGTAAATGGCAGCCGTCACATAATTATTACGGGACCAACACGGGAGTAAATCTTGTCTATTGAATAATAATTACAGAAATCGGATTAGAATGCATATATCGATTAATATACAAAAAATACAGATAAAAGCTGCCTGGAAGAGATCGCTATTTAGAGATAAGACCGCCATTTGTTGCCTCTTTATCTTGCTTTTATGTAATTAAGTATTCGTTTGCTTAGCGTATAATATTGTTAATCTTTATAATCTGTATCATTCATTGAAGGGAACAAATAAAGAGTTATCATTCATTAATTGAGAACCTTATTTTAGCAGTTGTTTAAAAATATCACCGAAACCAAA